AATAGGCTTTGTGTTAGATGATTTTGCCTAACTGTAATCTAACCTAAGTGTTCTGAGCCCGTAAAGGTAGGCTAGGCTAAGCTATGATGTGCAGCAGGTTAGAGGTATTAAATGCATTTCTAACTTAAGATATTCTCAATTTACCATGGGTTTGTTGAGACATAATCCCATTACAAGTTGAGGAAGATCTATACATGTGTATTATTTTCCACAGTTACTTTCATCTCTGTCTTAAGAAGTATCTCCTGCTTAGAACAAATGCCACTTGAACTTTTATGTGGGTCTCTTCTTACCTCCATGGTTCCTTCTTTCTTAAAAATCTTCCACATCTAGCTCATTCTCCTTAATATTATTTATATTATATATATTTACAAATATGCTCAAATCTCTTAAACAAACACCAAAATAGTCCCTTGATTCTACAGCAAACCACACCCCTACCCTACCCCACCCCAAACTAATGTTTTCTCAGCCAAGATTCTTCAGAGAGGAGGTCATATTTCTTGTATCCATTTTCACCTGCTGGTTAGGCTTTGCCCAATTACAGCTCACCTTTCATCACCCCTGTATCCATGCTACTGAAACTTTCCTAACTAAAATTATAGATGCAAACCTAATTATCAAATGTAATGAGAACTTTTCAGTTCTTCTTTTACTGGACATTCACGAAAGCAGCTGACACAACTGACTCAATCCACTGAAACCCTACTTGTTGGGTACTGGTCTCATGATTTTCTGCCTATCTTCTGTTATCCCCTCTAAGTGTCTTCTATGGGCTCCTCTTAAATATCAAAATTTTCCTAGGCTTTGGTCCTGTACCTACTTTATTTCACTATACACATTCTCTCTAGGGGACACTCCTGGCCTTAGCCTCTACCTATTATTACATGACCCCCTATTTCGAGACCAGACTTCTTATAAGCTTTAGACCTATATATCCAATTGTGTACTAAACAGTTTGACTATTACACTGGAAACTCAGTCCTCCCATGTCTAAAATGGAATCTATTATACTTCCATCCATTTTCTGTCTCTAGACTGCTATCTACCTCCCTGCCAACCAGAAGTCCAGGAAAAATTCTGAGCTGCCCATCATTAATTTCTGGTCACCAAATTCTGTTCATTTTCACCTGCCAAATATTACTTATAACCATCCATCACAAACATCCATAACAACCTCTCTAGCTCTACTATCATTATCTTGGCTCAATACCTTATAATTTCTATTAGATAACTCACAATCTCCCCTGTAATTTCAGTTTCCAACTTTATCAAAATTATATATGCACAAGTTTCAAAGTCATATATAGTTCTACAAGGTTAGTAATAAAAAAATCAGCCCTCTGCCCTCTCCCTTTTAGCTTACTATTTTGATGTTTCTTTCCATGTCTTTAAATACCTTTCTTATGTTGCTACTTCTTGATTTTTTACTTTTATGCATATCTAATGACTTCTCTACTAGGGGCACCATTCTTTCATTTACCCAACAAACATTTATTAAATGCCAGTATTCTGCCAGGCACTGCTATGAGTGTTTGGGATACAGTAAGCAAAACAGACAAATATCTATCTGGGCAGAGATAAATAACAGAATATTATATTATTCATTATAAAATAGTATCATTGCTAGCAAGGTAAGATGTCCTCTTTTTGTGTTCCAATAGTGATCTATTCCTAATGCTATCATAGGCAGAAGATTCTATACTACAGTACTGTATAAGACTGTGGTTGTACTCTTGTGTTCCTCCTAAGGTTCTGATGAGTCTGTTGTGACTAGAGGGATCTCTCTGCGTGAGAACAGAAGAGCCTCCTGGAAAGGTGCTAGAGACCTTAAGTTATGTTCAAACATGGGCTTGGATAATTTTAAAGGAGCCAAATCCATGAATTTCCAGATTAACTGCAAAGGACTTGTTAAATCCAAATTTAACATACGAAAGGTTAAAAGTAACAAACTGGGATCATCAGGAAAAGGTCCTTAGATCATGATTTAATTTTCAAAATGGTACCACTGACTTGGAAATGAAGTTTAGAAATGTTTGAACTTGACTGGCTTCTTTGATTAGACAAGGTAATTTTATTTTAGTGTCACAGATCCCCACTTGCTTTGTTAGCTGAATAATAAGCATACAGAAAGGATAAAAAGAAGTGTAATGATAATGTAAAAACAACTGCTATCATTTTTTCCCTTTCTCTTTACCTATTTGCCTGATTATTAAAAGGAATACAATGAGGTATGGGGCGCCTGGGTGGCTCAGTGGGTTAAAGCCTCTGCCTTCGGCTCAGGTCATGATCTCGGGGTCCTGGGATCGAGCCCCGCATCCGGCTCTCTGCTAGGGGGAAGCCTTCTTTCCCCTCCCTCTCTGCCTACTTAGGATCTCAGTCTGTCAAAAAAATAAATAAAATCTTAAAAAAAAAAAAAAAAAAAGGAATACAATGAGGTAAAATGGTGTTTCACAACTGATTTCTCAAAAAATTTACACAGAATCACAATTGGTATATTAGTGTTTTTCTTAAAACAAGAAGGTTAAAGGCTTAATTAATTCTTTGACATAGTAATAAAAATTATACTATGAGCTAGTTTACAATACTTTAGAATATTTTACATATATAAACCCCCTTCTCTAGGGACGCCTGGGTGGCTCAGTTGGTTGGACGACTGCCTTCGGCTCAGGTCATGATCCCGGAGTCCCGGGATCGAGTCCCACATAGGGCTCCCAGCTCCATGGGGAGTCTGCTTCTCCCTCTGACTTTCTCCTCGCTCATGCTCTCTCTCACTGTCTCTCTCTCAAATAAATAAATAAAATCTTAAAAAAAAAAAAAAATAAACCCCCTTCTCTAATAAACCTTTAAAGATATTTTGTTATATTATTTTTATCTTCTTTTAAAATATAATTTGGTTTCAAATATTAAGTTAACAAATTTCTTAGTTAAAAACCACTATCTGTAGGGGCACCTGGGTGGCTCAGTGGGTTAAGCCTCTGCCTTCGGCTCAGGTCATGATCTCAGGGTCTTGGGATCGAGCCCCGCTTCGGGCTCTGCTCAGCGGGGATCCTGCTTCCCCATCTCTCTCTGTCTGCCTCTCTGCCTGCTTGTGATCTCTGTCTGTCAAATAAAAACAAAAAACAAAAAACAAAAAAAACACTATCTGTAGAGGAATTGCCAAAAAATTTAGTAGGTCTGAGAAAAGGAAGAACAACAACAAAAAATCAGCAGTCTTCTGCCATCTTCCCCAGAGATAATTATTTTAAAGTTACAAAGACCTATTTTTGCTATGGCTAATTCCTTAATTAAAAAAAAATAAGCTGAATATTTACATAACATTTATCAAACTATTATTATTTTTAAAGATTTTATTTATTTGAGAGAGAGCGAGAGAGCGTGCATGAGAGCACATGAAAGGGATGAGGGGAAGAGGGAGAAGCAGACTCCCGATGAGCAGGGAGCCTGATGTGGGACTTGATCCCACTACCCTGGGATCATGACCTGAGTGGAAGGCAGATGCCTAAGGGACTGAGCCACTCAGGGGCCCCTATCAAACTATTATTAAAGAAATGTTAGAAAGGCGGCATTTCTGGAAATAGATTTTTAAAAAAGCTTTTCCTAATGCTATAATTACATGAGCTAAAGTGTTCACTACTCTGATAAAGGCCTAAAAATCATAACCGACCAGCATACCTATGAGATAAGAAGTGACTATATTTTGTGAGCTTCAGAAAAGATTCACTTTTTAATGAAGAATATAAATTCATTTGTCAGAATATTGGAAATACACATTAAAATTATTTGAATTTTACCATCAGTTAGTGACCACTGGTGGAAACAATTAATTATTGCTGAAAGATATCTGTTGATGGTATTTACCTTGACCATAATCACATACTATGCAAATACTAAAAATTGTTAGAACTATAGTTGTTTAGTAAAACCCAGTTTTTCTACTCTTACTTATAACACTCTTTGAACAATACAGTTTATGATTTTTTGTAGTCTGAGTTTTGGCTTTGAAAATTAGATCCTATCTAAAAACTTAAAAGAAGATGATGCTTCATTAAATAATTATAAGTAAAAAAAAAATTATAAGTAAGTGAACTGTGAATCTTTACTGGCCAAATCCATTACTCCTTTTCAAGTGAGGTGCCACTTATCTGTATATGTGCTGTAGAGCTTGTAGAGTATTTAGTGGCTTTTTTTTTTTAAAGTTTTTATTTATTTGTGAGAAAGAGGGAGAGGCATGAGCAGTAGGCGGAGGGGCAGGAGAGGGAGAAGTAGACTCCCTGCTGAGCAGGGAGCCCAACGCAGGACCCATGGGATCCCAGGACCCTGGGATCATGACCCAAATCAAAGGCAGACCCAACCGACTGAGCCACCCAGGTGCCCTGAATATTTAGTGTTTTATGTAGATAATCAATCACCTGAACACCTGATCAAAGGAGCTTGAAATCTTAAGAGATCACAAGAACCTGTTTAAAGGCTCAGATCTTGTCTTGGACAATGTTTTCTAATCCCTAATAACTTTAGCTGACAATGACATAATACCCTTCTTGAAAAAATACCCTGAAATCTGTGAATGTAGATTAAATCTTGGGAACAGAAAATGACCTAAGTGTACCTAGACCAGGTACTAATACGTTAGGAAAATAAATGACAATTTTCTTCTCTAGAGTAAAACATTTCATCAGCAGGAAGGATTGAAGACTTTATAAAGGTGTTTACTGATAAGTAACTAACTCGCAGAAGGTTAAAATGTTAAGCAACCTTAATTTTAGAAACTTTGCTAATTATTGGGGTGCTTGGCTGGCTCAGTCAGAGGAGTGTTCGTGTTCGTGAGTTTGAGCCCCACACTGGGTGTAGAGATTGCTTAAATAAACAAACTTAAAAAAAAAAAAAAGAAAATTTGCTCATTATCACACTTACATAATTTTTTAACATAAGGGCAAAGAACTGATTTATAATTGATTGTTTAACGTATTCTGAAGTAACATAGAATGAAAATTGATTACCTAATCAAGTAGCAACAGAAGAGTAAACTGAGGATGAAGACAAATATAGCAGTGCCAAAAACCACAATATATATGTTGAGAGGCAGATTCTGGAATCCAATATTAGGCATCCTGAAGTTGTAATGTGGGAAATCCGAGCTCATGGATGAACTGTGGGGGTAGAAAAGAATGGAAAAAAATTAGGGTATAAGACTAAGAATCAAGATAGCATTATCTTTGTATGTATATAAGGCAATGATATTATTAAGACTTGACCCCATCTGAAACAAATATAATAAAGTTAATATTCTTGCCATTCATCTAATTATCATCCCAAAAATATTTTCTGAGTACTTATTATGTACCTGGCACTATTCTAGAAGCTTGAGATCCTACCTAAAAAACTTTTACAAGTTATATTCATTCATTAGAAGGTATTTCACTGGGACACCTGAGTGGTTCAGTCCGTTAAGCGTTTGCTTTCGGCTCTGGTCATGGGATTGAGTCCGGCACTGCTGAGCAAGGAGCCTGCTTCTCCCTCTGCCTGCCACTCCCCCCTCTTGTGCTCTCTGACAAATAAATAAACAAATTCTTAAAAAAAAAAAAAAAAAAGTATTTCACTGAAGTAATGCCAGGAATTAATAAACATATGAACAAGTTCAAGCTCAAACTGCTCAGGCTCTCAGCTCAGCTGGAAGTCTGCTTCTCCGTCTTACTCTTCCTCTGTGCTCTCTCTCAAATAAATAAATAAAATCTTTAAAAAAATAGCAGCATTAATAATAGTAAAATATTGGAAATAACAAATCTCATAAGGAGGCAGTGATTAAATATGTTGAATCATGTTACAGTATTACGAGGTCATGAAAATCTGTTTTAGTAAATTTTAATGTCAAGGGCAATATAAAGATATATGGGAGAGGAGCCCAGGTGGCTCAGTGGGTTAAATGCCTGGCTCTTGATTGTGGCTCAGGTTGTAATCTCAGGGTCATGGGATTGAGCCCTGCATTGGGCTCCACACTGGTGGAGGGTGGGGATGAGGGGGGAATCTGCTGGAGATTCTCTCCCCCACCCCTCCCTGCTCACATATGCACTCTCTCTCAAATAAATAAATCTTTTTTTTTTTAAAGACTTTATTTATTAATTTGTCAAAGAGAGAGAGAGAGAGAGAGAATACAAGCAGGGGGAAGCAGGCTCCCTGCTAAGCAAGAGCCTGATGTGGGACTTGATCTGAGCCAAAGGCAGAGGCTTTAACCCACTGAGCCACCCAGGCGCCCCAAATAAACACATCTTGAAAAAAAAAAAAAAAGATATATGGGAAAAATTAAGCAGGCTATAGATTGTATATAAAATATCCCAATTCAACTCTGCCTTCGGCTCAGATCATGATCTCAGGGTCCTAGGATCGAGCCCAAATCTGGCTCTCTGCTCAGCGGGGAGCCTGCTTCCCCCTCTCTCTGTCTGCCTCTCTGCCTACTTGTAATCTGTCTGTCAAATAAATAAATAAAATAAACAAAAAAAAATCCCAATTTTGGAAAAGGTTGAAAAAAATGTGTACATACTGATGTATATGTGTGTATGGCAGAAAAAACCTGAGAGCCAACATGTCAACATGTTAACAGTGGCTTGTGGTTTACTAGTCATTTTGATTTTCTTTTTTTTTTTTAACTTCCTTTATTAAGTTAGGCCTTGTTCTAAGCATTTTACTGGCTTTATTTTATCTTCACATAATACCTCTAAAGATAGGTATATATATACCTATAGATAGGTAATATCTCCCATTTTATAGATAAGGACACCAAAGCTTGGAGAGTTTTGATCACATAGTCATGAATGACCAAGTATGTATGGCAGCCAAGCCTTCTCCAACTCCAAAGCCAGTGAACCCATAGCCTATATGCTCTATGGTCTTTCTCTTGTGTTGATTTTATAATCAGAAAACAGCAAATATTGTTCACACATTTAAAAAGGGGATTTTTTTTGTCAGTTTGTTTGGTAATACTTAACTGATCACCACAGAGTTCAAATTCCATGAGTGGAGGCTGACCTCTCCATTGGATGATGAGTTTTAGTGATAAAGTGGTTCATCACACCTTTTCACTAGAACTTTTCTCCTCATTGTGATTCATTACAAAATAAAGAGCAACTGTCAGGCCTGATTATCAAGATTATGTATTGATAACTGAATCATAACAATGACTACTGCCAAAATCAAGACAAAACAAAGACCTACCAAACACTGCTATCTTTTATATAATGTAAATTTAACAAGTGTTTACAGATTTTTTATGTCTTTTTTGGTTCCTAGAAGAATATACTTATAGATACTACTGAGATACTAACTGGCTATATGCGAAATCTAATGAGTTATTACTTTAAAAAATTTATTTTGAGAGACTGTATATGCACACAGGCATGGGAGGGGCAGAAGGAGAGGGAGCAGACGCCCCACTGAGCATGGAGCTCAAGGCAAGGCTTGGTCCCGTGACCCTGAGACCATGACCTGAGCTGAAATCAAGAGTCGGCACTTAACCGACTGCCACCCAGGTGCCCCACAATTTATTACTTTTATTTATTACTTACTAATTTCCAGCTTCTAATAACTTATACCAGGAAGTCAACAGCTGCAAAGGACAATTTCATCCCAAGGAAACTCTTCTCTGAGAACTTCCATGCAAAAATAATGGGTAATATTTAATTTTCAACTTTTAGCAATTTTCTGCAAGTTGCTTTTTTACTCAGATACATAATTTCCCTTTTCCTACACTCCCATCTTGGAAGGGAAGGAAAGAGTTAAGGAGTATTTTATTGAATATATCTAGCACATACATTAGAGTGTTGTAAGAAAATTATAGCTGCACTAAACTTAACTCTTAATCTCCACATCATTGAGAGGCCTCACTTGATGACCCTTGTTACAGTCAAGACTTGGATGGCAGTCCTTCAGTCCCTTAGAAATATCCCCGACCAGACAAACAAGGCTTGGTAAAAGAATTCTCACCTTAGGAAATAAGAGATTAAACACTCTTGCTGGAAGGTTTAATAGAGAGGAAACAGGGAAACAGAAAGTGGTATTGTAGAAAAAGGGACAGGTTTGCAGTCAACAACTCTGGATATTGTTCCCAGGATATCACTAACTAGATTGTCAGTAATAGGTCCATCTATATCTTAATTTTCTCATCTTTCAAGTGGAGAAATGCCTATTCTATCAACTTCAAGGGATTCCTGGAAGGATAAAATAAGACCACAGATACTGAAGTATCTGAAAGAATTAGTACAAAATACTAAGGTTTTAGTGGATTTGTGTGTGTGAGAGCACATTTTGGCAGGGATAACGAGGAGGAGTGACTTTAAGTAAAAGAACATAAGGGGCACCTGGGTGGCTCAGTGGGTTAAGCCTCTGCCTTTGGCTCAGGTCATGATCTCAGGGTCCTGGGATGGAGCCTTGCATCGGGCTCTCTGCTCAGCAGGGAGCCTGCCTCCCCCTCTCTCTCCCTGCCTCTCTGCCTACTTGTGATCTCTGTCAAATAAATAAATAAAATCTTAAAAAAAAAAGTAAAAGAACATAAAAGAAGCCTTGACAAAGATCAAGTCTCTGGGAAGGATTTCACCAAACCTAGAGCTCCTTTCTCAGGATGCTCCTCTGCACATGCTGCCAAGCTTTGTGGCAAGTGGCCTGCCAGCCTGGTCCCCAGAGGCAGGAACTGGAAACTTACTCTGGTTAAAGGCAGCTATCAATATAGGCCAGCAGGGAGTGTGTCAGTGGTGTGAGAATGCTGCCCTGCAGGAGTCCTTGCACTGGGTGGCATCACCAACAAACCTGAGGAATTCTGAACAGGTACACAGACATGTAGAGTATGAAAGGTAGCACTGTCATTAGAAGAGGGAACAGATGTCTACTTCAGTGTTCCTGAGACCTGGCTGCTGAGATTTTTCTGAGTTTTCCCTTCTTAGCAGCGCGTTACAAACAACCTATTACCAGAAGGGTGGGGTTGGTAGAGGATAGCTGATGCAGAATACATTTTAGGAATTTTCTCCCATTCTTTTGATAATTTAATTGCTTAGCTACAATTGAAATTTTGGCCCAATAGTCTAAATAGATGGTATACTGTTTCAAGATGTTAATCCTAGTCTAGTGACACTTCAGTTTTACAATATTTTCATCATAGTATCTTTTCAGCATGAGCATTAATCTTTTACAATAAGGTCATTTAAAAAAAAACAGAAACACAACTGAGTCTGGGTGACTCAGTTGGTGAAGCAGTGGACTCTTGATTTTGGCTCAGGTCATGATCTTAGGGTTGGGGAGATCAAGTCCCATTTAAGGTTCTGCAAGCAGCAGGGAGTCTGCTTAAGATTCTCTCCCTCTCCCTCTGCCCCTCTGCCTCACCTGTGTGCTCTCTAAAATAAATGAATAAATCTTAAAAAAAATCCACTATTATCATCCTAGTAATAAGCATACTTTGTTAGGTATTACAAATGTAAAAATTATTTAGGAGCTGCTCCTTGTGGGAGTGATGAGGAGAAATAGAACTGCTGGATCTTGGCATTTCTGATTTCATTTGCATGAAAACCTTCCCCTCGTTATGAAATTCATAGCTCCTGATATCTCTAGTCTCGGTCTCAATTTCAAATCATCTAATCAGGTTATTTAAAAAAAGAAAAGAGGGGCGCCTGGGTGGCTTAGTTGGCTAAGCATAGGCCTTCAGCTCAGGTCATGACCCCAGGGTCCTGGGATTGAACCCTGCATTGGGTTTCCTGTTCAGCAGGGAGCCTGCTTCTCCCTGTCCTGCTCCCCCTACCAGTGCATGCACTCCTCTGTCAAACAAATAAAATCTTAAAAAAAAAAATTAAAAATTAAAAAAGAAAAGAAAGAGGCGGGAAGATCTGAGAATTTCATGTGCAGTGGGATTTCTCACCAATATACAAAAGGGACAGAGTACAAGATTTGGCTGCATAGATGACCTGAGTTTAACACAATGCACCACACAGCCAGAAAGGCTATAACAACAGTGTTTCTTGAAGTGTGTTTGGTAGCCACATTCTTCCTAGGCCAGTTCCTGTTCCCTAGATAATACCACATCATCTTCCCAGTAGTTAGCATTCTACTTTTGCTTTAAAAATGTTCAGAAAAAACGGAATGGCGGTTCCTCAAGAAGTTAAAAATAGAGCTA